AAAGGGTGTATCCAGGACCACCACCAGGAGTCTAGAAGCTCCATTCCATTTTCAAAACCCTAGAAACTGATCCCTTGTCATAATTCATTTCTGGATTATATCTCCGATGGGATTTTTTATTTGAGATTCGAACATTTTGGGAGAGGATAATAGATTTAGATCTTGTTTACGGTCGAAAGCCGAGGTGGTCGACAGTTGGGAAAGGATGAACGAACTTTGGTCCAAGGGCAAAGGAGGTGTTGAATCTAAAGTCGAGGTGGTCGAGAGTTGGGAGCGGATGAACGAAATTTGGTCCGAGGTCAAAGGAACTATCGAACAGGAGGTCGAAGAGGTCGACAATTGGGAACGGCTTAACGAAATTTGGTCCGGGGCCAAAGGAACTGTCGAATCTAAAGTCGAGGTGGTCGAGAGTTGGGAGCGGATGAACGAAATTTGGTCCGAGGTCAAAGGAACTATCGAACAGGAAGTCGAGGTGGTCGAGAGTTGGGATCGGATGAACGAAATTTGGTCCGAGGGCAAAGGAAGTGTTGAATCGAAAGTCGAGTTGGTCCACACTTGGGAACGGATGAGCGAAATTTGGTCCGAGGTCAAAGGAACTATCGGACCGGAGGTCGAGGAGGTCGACAATTGGGAACGGCTAAACGAAATTTGGCCCGGGGCCAAAGGAACTGTTGAATCTAAAGTCGAAGTGGTCGACAATCGGGATCGGATGAACGGAATTTGGTCCGGAACAGCCGGAGAAAAATCCGTGTTGGTGGGTGATTCTTCTTGTCTGCTCTCTTCGAGACTAACATTTCCGACGGCGAGATTGGAATTTCCGACTGTGAGATTCGACTTTCCCCTCTAATCGCTGCTTTTGATTGTTTGATTCGATTCCAGTCCGTATTTAGGGTTTCCTGATTTGGGATTCAACGTTCTTGGAAATGGTTTTTTTTTTCTGTGTGTTCGTTTTGCTGATGGTATTCTTATTTGCTTAAAATCGAATTAGAAGAATCATTATGATCAACTGTTTTCTCTTTTCTGGGCATTTATCACAAGAAACTTGATCATCTTTTGTTCCTGGTTCCTTACCTGTAGATACATCAGAAGAATCAGAGGTCAGTGGTTCTGACGAAGAAGACAAGTCATGGATTTCCTGGTTCTGTGGCCTACGTGGGAACAAATTCTTATGTCAAGTCGATGATGATTTCATTCTAGATGAGTTCAACTTGTTTGGACTCAGCAATCAAGTTCCTTACTACGACCACGCTCTCGATTTGATTCTCGATGAAGAATCTTCTTCTCATGGTAATTCTTTACTCTTTAGTATGTTTGTCTTTGGGATTTTTTGTTTGTGTCTTCAAATGCTTGATTTGGCATTGACCAACAGGTGAGATCATTACAGAGGAACAAAACGAATTGATCGAGTCAGCAGCCGAGGTGTTATACGGCATGATTCATGCTCGTTACTTATTGACATTTCCAGGACTCCGTTCTATGTTTAATAAATACTATAAACGTGAGTTTGGAAGATGCCCAAGAGTTGATTGTCGTGGCCAACATTGTTTACCTATTGGTCTATCCGATATCCCTCGAGCAAGTACCGTGAAGATATATTGTCCCAAATGTGAAGACGTTTATGACCCGCCATCAAAATACCAAGGAAGTATCCTTTTGTTGATTCACATTCGATATTTTTCCTATTTTTGGTTTTTGTTCTTCTTTAAACATATGAATACAGATATAGATGGATCTTACTTTGGGACAACATTTACACATATGTTCCTGATGAATTACGAATGTATGAGACCAGAAAAGGTGTCGCAAAGCTATGTGCCAAGAGTGTTTGGGTTCAAGTTACACAATCTACAAAGGTGACAACTACTCTCTCTCTCTATATATATATATATTTTTGTGTTGGTTTTTAGATACACTAGGTGCTTTCTTCATTTATATTTTTATTCTAAAGTGATAATTTTTATGATTATGTATTTTAATGTTTTAAAATATTAAGTAATTTATTTGTATTATAAATTCTGCCAAATTTAACATGTTTACATATATAAATAATTAAATGGTACAACTAAATTTCTGAAATTCATATTATTAATAAAAACGATTTTATTGTCCAAAAAATTAACAAAAGAATCAACAACAATGTTTATAATAAAAATCAAAACAATTACATATTTCACATTTTTAAAGACTAAAATTTAAATCAAACTATATAAATAATTTACCCGTGTACACGGGAGAATCACCTAGTAGTATGGTACATATATTGTCAAAGTATGCGTGTCTATTGGACTTTCGTTTGCTTCTAAGTTGCAGCCGCTTCATTTGTAAGAGTTTATAGCAGCATATTTTTGAGCATTTACCTATCTCTTTCTCATGTCCATTTCTTCTAGACTCAAATCCCAACATGATATTAATGCATCAGAGAAACATAGCGGAAGATCGACACGGACTATAGATAACCAAGAAAAAGAGTCAAAAATTGATTACAAGACATGTCAGAAGGTTGACGTGGTTCATTCTTCTTCATGATTCCTTATTCTAGAGCTGCCTTTCTCCATTATTATTATTTTTTATGTGGTTGCTTTTTCTCAAGCTGGGTGTTGAAGTAATCTGACCATCGTCCAAAATTAATGATACTTTTCCAATGTTTGTCCCTCGTATGAGTGTTGTTTTTGTTTGGTTTTTTGTCTCATCACGTCAAGTCCGACCTGTAAAGTAACAAAGTACAAGCAAGTGGATATTGATCAACTGACTATGGCAAAAGCAATCATACAAACTCGACAAGAAGAAGCCATAAACGCTCTAGTTTCATATATAATGTCTTAAGCAAACAACAAAATTTTGAAAATAACAGATATTGTATGATTATGTATAGCAAAAATTTAGAGAAAACTGAAAACAAAAAACTTTTTATACATAAATCTTCAAATCCTTAATTCGTTTGATCCATCTAATACTGATAGGCCCTTGAGATCATATTGTAGAAGGAAGAACAAGTGACTAAAGAGGATGACGTGGCACAACAAGAAGATATCGAGTCTGTTTTGGGTTTAGATCAGAATTGGCTAGATTTCGTTGTAATCCTCTTTGATTCAATAAATATTGTTTTCAAATCTTATTAAATTGGTGATGGTGAGCGATCTGGAGCGATAGATCATGATGAGTTAGGTAATGGAGATGGCGAACCATCATCAACAGACCCGAATTTGAAAATATGTTTCTGAAACATTTAAATTAGGCCTCCACTTCAAAGGGGTTCAGTTTTAAGAAAAATCATATCAAATATATATAGTAATTTGTTGCAAATTTGTTACTTGATAGAAAAATGAAGACTTAGTGGGATAGCAAACCATTTTATGACATTATATGATTCAAAAGCAAATATGCTAAGTTTTTTTCATAATTTTATTTCTTATAAGAAGACATGAATGTATTGTTGTTGAAAAAAAGAAACTTTTTTGAAAAATATATTAACTAAATGTTAATATTCGGCTCTGACCATCAAAGATCGGTATCGGAGATAGGGTTTGAGAAGCCAGTGATGGAGCGTTTCTGATAAGACTCAAGTTTGAACTGATTGCGATAGAAATGGGGAGAGAATTGGCGAAGAGAACATAGAGAGGAAGAAGTTTAGGGATTGATAAAATGTTTGATAACGTTTTCTACAGTGCAAAGAGAAGTAGAGAACTATATAGAAAGATAAAAGGGACAACAACATAACAATATCAACCCATTAAGTATTAAGCGAGGCTCATAACGAACAAATATTAAAGGACTTATCTATATCGCTCCCTTAAGAAAAAGTGGAAGAAATTGAAAAGATGCAATGGTGATCATGGGTGAACCTTGTACAACACTTGATGCTCCTGTCCTTCCAAAACAGATCACCTCCGAGGTGTTATAAATCTTTCTCGACTTTGTCACTAATGAGAGTGAATCCGTTTGACCTTGAGAAACTTGGGAGTTACCGAAACCGAGTCTAAATTCCAAAAACTAGCCGGATTCCACTCCTCTTCCTTCCATACAACTATCTCTTCTT